TTGTTTATGTATCTTCTGTGGCTGCTTCTTAGTTGTAATGGCATAGTTGAATAATTATGACAGAGACTGTATGGCCTGCAAAACCTAAAGTATTTACTTTTTTGCCCTTTACTATAAAAAGGCATGGACCTCTATTCTAGAATATTAATTAGGACTTGCTTCTGGTGCCACTGCATGGTAACTGAGCCGCTGGACTGTTTGACTTCTATCTCATGTGCCCTGATTACAAGAAAGTACTTCCATCGGGGCCAAGTGGAGGTGCAGTAGAGCAGGCGCAGAGCAACACAGCTGGTACATTTACTTCTTATGTCTCCACATTACACCATGTAGTGTAGGGAGGAGACAAAGGGCTAGGAGTCCAGAGACTGACAGCATGTGGCCTTCTCTCTGGGCCTGCTTCAGATAGTCACTCTGCAACTACAAGATGGCACTAGATTAAAGATTCTTCGACTTTTTCCTGCACCAAAATCATGTAGAAGGCTTGTTGAACTGACTCTTGGGCTCCACCTACAAGGTGTCTGAGTCGGTAGGCCTGGGGAAGGCCTGAGAAAGTACATTTTTAACAAGTCCTCAGATAATGCAGGTAGGCAGTATGACTGGATTGTTTTTGCGGTTGCTTGCTGCTTTTTGGCATTGGAAAGGGGAAAGCCAGAGTGTTCCTTGAGGAATGACATTTGGCAAGGACCAAATTCTAGTTGCTTCTGTGATATATACACCAGAGCTATTTTGGACTAGAATGTAAATTCTCACATTTCACCTATGCAAAAGGAAATACTTTCTGGTCTCCTGCTAGTAATCAGTTGTCCCAAATTTTGCCCGTTGCCTCTAGAAATTCTGGACCCTCAAGTGATCAGTCTTTTACAGCAGTGTGGAAGAACAGTACCTATTGATTTTTCATGGTCTCTACCCTGTCCTTTTTATTATGACTGCTGTTCTCTACCTTTCTGTTTTTCAAAATCCTTGTGTTATTCCTGTTGTCCTTTTTCTAGATATTTTCTTGGTTATAATAAAGTGCTAATATTTTAAGAGCTTTTGGGAGCCTGTTGGTGCCAGAAGCTATGCAAGTTACTTAAAGAATAGTCTCATTCAGTTCTCTCAAAAATCTTTGGGGAAGTTTTATTTTTCTCACTTTACATATGAGTGGAAATTACAAATTTGGAGTCAGAGAAGCTAAGTAATGTGTGATCTGGACAATTTCAATATCTATGTAGATGAACATCAAAAACCAAGCTTCCTAGGTCTTTGGCCTCCTCCCCAATATCCCTCACCTCCACTTGCAAAGTATCCATTCACATTCTTGGATCTTGGACTTCCTTATCACCAAGGATTCACCCAGGATTTCTCTTTCTTGGATCATGATCTTCTTTGTCATCCTGTCACTGCAACTCAGTAGTCTGTGTCTTGGAAAAGCTTTATATCTCTTATCCCCTTTCTCTGCCACCAGAAATACCTTTCTGAACTATTCCTTTATCTTAAACCTTTTTTAAAATCTGCACACCTTTACCAAATTGTATTGCTTATGCTTCTAGTTCCCTAGTACATAGTAACCTTTGGAAAAATTGTTTTATCTTACTAATTGTTTCTGTAGAATCCTGTACTGTGTCTGGTTTATAGAAGGCACTCCATGAATAATGGTTTAACTGAGCTGGAGAATATATGACTAGGGTCTGAATCTGAGTCTGTCTTGCTTCACAGTGTGGTTGCTATAGTCAGGCCTCCCACAGCCAATGGTCTTTCTTTCTAATCTGTCTGGATGAAGAAGGAATTGTTCAGTAGGTGATATCATTTGTGGGATGCTTTGTCTATTTCTCCATATCCAGAATACTATTGGTGATTTTTCACTTTGTCAGACTGCATTTTCTCTTTTCAACTAGAGTTCAAACAAAATAATTTTAGATAACATTCTAAGAACATTTGGAAACATGACATTTCAGGTCTGTTTTCCCCCTTGGCTTTAAAAAAGCATATACAGCTATAATTACTAATTGCTGTACTCTAAGTAGAGACAGATGATACATATGTTTGTGACAATTTTCCAGAGGGAGAACTAAGTAACCAGGCTCATTTTTCTATAATGTGAATGTTATTCACAAACTATTACCATAATTGATGCACCAAACCACTGTAGAGTAAATAATGTGTTGTGTGTGGGAAGCAAGCTAGTAGTCAATGAATATTAAAGAACAAAACCTCATTTTAAAAGAGAAACTGTAATTATAATCATTCTGAATTCATACTGCACAGCCAGTTAAAATAACTTGGCTACTCTTTATCTGTGTAATTCTGTGTATAAAGAGGGTAGGTATATGATTTTTTATATAGAAATAAGTATTTTTATGAAAAGACACAGTATTGAACTTCAGAATCAGTCATTTACCAAAAGCGATTGTTGCAGAGATGAACATGCAGAGTTAATCAGTGAAATATATATTGATGGGAAAGATCACCATTTCTGTTACCTTTTGCTTTTTAGGTGTTTTATGTCTACCTGGAATGTCTTGTCCCTTTCCATGGACCTAATCAGCTTCTGTATTTTCTCCAAAGCTTCTTTTTCATGGGACGTTCTTCTTGTCCACCTTTAATCCCTCTTATTGCTTTCTAGATGCTTGTCAGCTTCAACTTCTGTGTGTGGTATATTGATTTGCACTTTTGGGATTTGTTATTTTATAATTGGAGGTCATAAATCATTTCTTATATGTATCGTTAGTCTTCTCAACCAGACTGCCTAGGATTTCAGTCTCAGGTGTGTGTGTGTGTGTGTGTACCTATGTGTTGGGGGGTGTGTATGTGTGTTGTGTGTATCGTTCCTTCTGGTATACTTTGTAGAGAATGGTTTACTTTCTATGTGTTCACTAACTCTTCAGTATGTATTGTTGGTTACCTGTTTTTGTGCATCAGATACTGCATTATTTTTGTAAAATTGTTGTTTTGTGTTGGACTACCAGTGTCTCTACAGAGTCTTGAATGTTACTGGTAAGGATCAGATCTGTTGGTATAGAGTTTTTGATGGAACACTTAATCAGCAGTGTGTAGTATGGCTTATGTAAAATGTTTAACTCCCTCTATCTCTGACAAGTTCTGAAGTTTAAGGGGAAAGTGCTGCCCTATCTCTTGAACGTGAGTGTTTTGGGTGTATATGTTTTACAGATAGACAGGGGGATTCTGACAGAGCTTACTTTTATATTTTAAAATAGACCATAGTGTACCTATTCTTAGGAACCTTTTAGGAAAATGTCTTCAACATTGATCCTGTTGTAAGTTGTAATCTCAGTATATTTTTATAATTTCCTTTGAATATATAACTGTTCCTTTCACACTATGGGCATCTGTTTTCTTCTCTTTTTATAGGAATGAAAGTATCGACAGATTCCAATGTGGGTTCTTAGCTCAAAATTCTCTGCCCTGATATCAGGCCAATTTATTTAGTTAGTTCATACAACTGGACATATTTCTATAATAGAAAAATGATGAAATGTTTTTTAACATATTGCTTACAGAGATAGAGCCCACATTATAAGGCTCTGTGTAACTCTTCCTCTCAAAAGATTATTGGTTTTAGCATGTTTTCCTCCCTTTAACTTAATCTTAAGCAGGTGAACCTTTCTGAGTGCTTTTTGGAAAGTTCTGAGGAAAAAAAAAATAACAAAACTCATACAACCTCAAGGAATTCTAAGTATCAAGGAGCACCTCTGTGAAGGTGATTGGTTCAAGCATTGAGCACCATTTACTATCCTTCAACAAATTGCAGGACATAATTCATCTATCCAACTCTGTCATAGCATGTTTCTGCTTGCCCTGATGGTAAGTATGACAAGGGAGGAACGTTATCCAGGAGTGGGCACTGTAGCAGGGGAAAGGAGCCCTGGAGTTGACCCTTATAGAGGTGGTTCTCATTCTCAACTCTTTCTACAAGATGGTTTGGTGTCCCTTGAGATCATTCTCCCACCTTCAGAATCCTGGATGGGCCTCTTGCCTTTCTAGAGTCCCTTAAGGACTCTAGAAACAACTAACCTTGGAGCTGATACCATTTAATTCTGTTCTTGGCAGTGGGCCCTGGTTTCTTTCCTGCTAGGCCCTGTGCCTCTTAAGAGCAGAGAAGAGGTCAGATGCAGATAACACAGGCATGATTCCTGCCTCCTGAAATGCTCAGACGATATGTACTTCTCCGTCTCCCTAAAGATTTAAGGGAGTACACATTTATCGTGGAATGTAATGAGTAGGAAAGAGCATGGGGCTTTCTTTTTCTGCTGAATAGCAGTTTGTAGGATAGAAGCAGTTCTGTTTACAATTCAGCTGTATCTTTGTAGTTTGTATTGCAGTTGATGTTATTTTAAGCTTTACTGTTAAGCTAAATTTCTGAGTTGCGTCATTTGTAAATTCTTTCTTTGAGGGTCAAGGGAGACTTTGTAAAATGTTCAGGTCTGAGAGAATTTTCAGTTAGGTAAAGCCATGTTCATGCATGAGTATATGTGTATGTGCATATGTGTGCACAGCTCATGCATAAATGCCTGTGCTTGCTTGGGTAGGGACTAGGAAGGCTGAAAAAGAGAGAGAAAGTCATTCTTAGCAGAAGAAAAGCACATGCAAAGGATGGAAGACATGTGGTTTTTGACAGATGAATGAATCCTTGTGGAGGTTTTGTAGGAGCTGTGACCAGCTCTGTTTGCTGAGAAAAGGGAAAGTCCTTGAGCACCCATCATACCTCTTCAGACTCTCTTAAAAAGCATTCAGATGTTCTGCCAGAGGAAATGATGTGTTCCAAGTACAGCTGCAGTGGAGAACTCTTTTTGTGCAGCTGAAGCAATTCCTCCACATAGATCAATCCATTTTAACAGTAAACTGTCTGTTTAAAACAAAACAAAAAAGGCGGGTGGGAAGTGGGAGGAGGAGTTTATGCCAGGAAATGAAAATAAGTTGCTGCAGAAGCCCGTCTTGGTTGTGGTTTCATAGTTAAGAATAAGTTAATAATAATAATAAGCGCTTACTTGGTAGTTTTTCTCTCTATGTGTGTCTTTATGGAGTTTTAATTTTCCAGAAAACATTAAGAATAAATTAGAGAACACACTCCTGCAGCTCACAAACTATAGCATCTTTTGCCACTTACACCTTCCAAGGAATCAGGTAGACTTCTGGTGTCCTCTCTGGTCCTCTTCTTCCCTTGCTTATAGCATGTCAGGCTTTGGACTTAATCAGAGGATAATTAAGGCTCTATCATAACAGGTAGAGTATCTAACGAAGTCTAAGAAGTGATATTTCTATAAGGGTCTTTAGCTGACTGTAACTACTAAGCAGAGGTTAGGAAGTTGCGATGTCATTTAAGGTGACATTGTGGTTACCTTTTCTCAAGCTCAGTTGTGAGCCTGGAGCTCTGTTAAGTGCTTTACAGCTATGAGCCTATTTAATTCTCACAGGAATCCTCATTTTAAGATAGGTTTGATTACCCTCAGTTTACAGATGGGGAACTTCAGTTTGAGAGATAAGTGATTATTTGCAATTATACCCAGCATTTGGCATGGCTGGGATTGGAACCAAGGGCCTTCAATCTCCAAAGCTTTTAGGTGTAACCCCTGCCTGATGCATTGTACTCTCCTGTAAAGCAGCCTTTTCTCTCTGCTGCCACTAGTTCATTTCTTTTTCCTCTCTTAATATGCTTCAAACAAAACAAAACCAATAATCTGCTCCTAAATTGAGGTTGATCTCCCTCCTTCCTATCCATTAAGTAATGTCTTATACTCATGCAAATATCAGATATTCGGGAGATAAAATAAATAGAACGTGCCCCTCTTCTCTTTAGCTCTAAGAAAATTTTAATGTTGTCAGTAGTTACTACTGTTCCACAATCCTACTATATTACCTGAAATATGTAATACAGGTACAGTCTTCTCAGGAAAACTCTTCTATGCAGTGGCATGCTGGAGCCAGGAAGGCTTGTAGACCCAGCTTGGCCATGGATCAGCTGTGAGACCTTGGTGAAGTCACTTTACCCTACAGGCTTTACTTCTTTTATCACTGTAGTGTTTGATCCAGGTCAGTTAGCAACCTGGGAGGCACAGCCTTTTTCAGGACAGGAAATAGGGCACATGTGCTATCCATTTGCATGCACACTCTCCTTAGGCATTTGTTGAAGGGATGGCTAATATAATATAAACTCAGTTAAAAGCATTACTAAATGCTTACATTTTGTGTTTATTTGATCAATGAATGAGTGCTAAAATTTAGTATGTTGTCAATGGGGAATTTATTATTTCTTTTTGCATTAAAGGGGTCCTCATGCTAAAGATTAAGCAATACTGCTTTTCGTGAACTTTTAAAGTCCCTTCCCAGGTAGAATATTCACAAAGCCTATGAATGAGTTTAACTACTTGATTACCCAGATTGTAGCTTTTTGAAATCTTTCATTACCTTACTTTCCCCCCTTCTCTGTGAGCTTTTGGACTTAGGACAAAGTAGGAACGATCACAAGGAAATGGATTGACATTTTAAAAAACTCTACTCTTTCACAGTCTTTCCTGAAGATGTGATGTTTTTTTGCCTTCATGTCTCTAAGTACAGTTGGTCAGTTGTCACTCTGTCACCTTCCCCCCTAGCCCCATAATTCCTGTGAAACCCTGGACACCTAACTGTTTTTGCAGACCATGAGCTCCTCTAGCCTCACTTCTTTCCTTGTCCAGCTTGTAGTACCTGGGTAATCCCCTCACCCCTCACCACCTTCCTTGTTAGTACCCCCAGTTCCCTGAAGCTCTTGTGCTGCCCGTTTCCTCCCAGCAGCATGCCACTTGTCTGCCCTCATGAGCCTGTGTTCCCCTTAGAAGAATCACAACTCTGGACTGTTATTATAGATCAGTGGACTTCAACATCTGATAGCTTTTTCAGTGTCGCCCATCAATGCATTTACCAAGTTGCTTTTTCTATCCTTGAGGTGATGATAGTTCCAAATGCTCCCCACTGTCTGCATGGCTACAATGGTAGTAAACATTAATAGAAAACTTGGTTGTGTTGGAGAAAATGTGCTAAGGACTTTACGTGCATTGTCTCATCTCCATTCATGCTAAGGAATCTAACTTTTCCTTCTAGCCATCCTGCAAATACTAGTGAGGCATCAACTGTGTCTACACACAGTGCCTGAGGCACAGACTGTAACTGTGATTGAGGCAGAATGGGGACTTGCTCTCAAGAGATCTCCAATTCAGAGGGATTATGAACAGAAGTAAATAGGTAGCAATGACATTGTCTGATAAGTGCTAATGAGGGGAGAAGTTCAGTATGCTATACATGCCCCCAACCCAGACTTAGGAATGAGGTTAAGGAAAACTTGCAGGAAGTTACAGTTAAGTGTCAATCTAAAGGACAAGAGACTATGAGGGAGGAGCATTCTGGACAAAAAGAATACCTGGTTCCTGGAATAATTTCAGGGTATTGAGAGGCACCAGTAGGAATAGAGCCATTATTCTCAGATAAATTAGAGGTCATTTTTTTTTTGGTGTGAATTTTGTAGACTCTCTTTTCTACCTCCTCTGTGGTCTGTGTTCTCACTTGGTCATCAACTGGAATCAGAATCCACTGAGATCCTTCTCTGTACATAGATCTCGTAAGACCCACTTGCTGTCAATCTCAATGTGAAGTTTGACTATGCACTTGTCTAGCCGCTCTGCTGAAACAGTATTCGACTGTTAAGGTGGGTGTAGAGGACAGTGCTTCTTCAAAATTATTATAGAGAAGTTTATAATTACTGACTGTCTTGATGTAGGGATAAGGTATTTTCAGGAGGGTCTTTCAATATTAATCGCTCCTGAAATTTTGAATGCTTAAATGAAGCTGCTGCTTAGCTCAATGATAAGTAATAGCAGCTTCTTTTTCCATGAAGACATTTAGTAAATGACATTTTAGGTCTCAGCAAGTGTTATACCTGCAGACACCTTGGCTGAGGAAAGCCTGATGTGCCTCCAGTGAAGGATTTGTAGGTCCACATCTTTGATGCTTCTGCAACAGAGTTAGGGAAATAAAACAGTGGGTCATACGTGCTCCTGATTCATTGCTAACAGGAAAGGGACATGAGCCCCCATGTACATTTCTACCCTTCTGTTCATGATAAAGGCCACCTACTATAGTCAGCAGTAGAAATAAGAGGGGACACAAAGCAACTGAGTTGTAAAATTTTTCAGACCACTTTGGAAGATGGAAGCTGACAACATCATACATCCAAATTCCTCTGCATTGTTGTCTCTATCGTTAGAGGTGGGGAATCGTTTACAGCATTCTGTGGAATCTACTTTTGAATCCAGATGGGTCTTAATTATTTTGTATTTGGGAAATACATTTTATTGGACAGTCGAGATGTGCCATCATATTATTTAATATTTGGGAATCACTGTTGCCCATGTGGCTGAACGTCTCGAGCACATTTATCTTAGCATGGCAATGCCTGGGTGCCTCACATCCATGTAAGCTCAAACTATGTTCCTTGATTTCATTCCTTCCTCTCTGTTTCTTTCATCTCGAAAACTGAGTGCTGATGCCATTTCACACTTTTTCTTAGAAGTTTAATGAGTTAGTAGAACTATAACAAAAATAAAAATACTTTCTTTACGTTTCTGAAAAGGAATATTTCTATAAAGCGTCAGTCATTTTTCCAAGCTGTTAGTTCCTGCTGCTGAATACGAGGAGCTGTTCTGTCAACAAGAACAAGTAAGGGGGAATAGTAAGAGAAAGCTGTTCCAGTTTCTCTATCTCTGCTACAAGCAGTTGGACGACGTTGTTTCAGCTGGAGAATTTAAGATGGCTTCTTACTCACTATTTGCTAAAGAGACTGGACTGTTTTTAGTGTGATAATCTTCTGTGGGCATGGAGAAAGATCATCTCCTGATCTCATTTTGGAGATCATGGAGTTAAATCTGTAGCAATGTCCTTTTCCTAGACTTAGGCTCTTGTCAAAATAATGTTTGGCCAGGTGTTAATCTGTGTCCTGAGGGAAGTGCTGAAATTCATTATTCATCCCATGGGAGTAGGGGTGGGAGGAGAAGGTTGTCCTTCTGGGAGGTACCAGGGCCATAGCCTGCCTCCTGCCTTTACTGACATGTGCCATTTGTGATGAGGGCAGTTGAAGTCCATTTGAGGAATTCTCTTGTCAGCCGGCCAACAGAGAAGCACAGAGGGAGGGAGAGGGAGGGAGAGGCAGGCAGCTTGGCAAGGCAGTCCTGGAGTGCAGTTTCCGGAGCAAGATCACACACAGTGTTTTAGAAGCTCAGGGAAGGTGCTCAGGAACATAAAGGGGAAGAAGGCCAGGTTTGAAAGGGTAGATTTTCCTATTTTTTTCCACTTTTCCCCGCTGTCTTTGAATACTTGTCATCCTTCGGAAAACTCAGCGTCGGAAAGAAGCTTTTGCTGACACACTGCTTTTTCTCCAGCACTATATTGTGGTTTTTTTGTTTTTGCTCTTTTCATTTTTCTTTTTCTCTGAGGGTGGGAGGTGAGACAATGATCAAGTCAAGCTGGTTCTATGTTAAGTTCAAGTATGCAGAGAAGGTGAGTCAATACGGTTTCTCTTCCCAAGGGAAACCTGCCACCTCCCTCCAGTCTTCTCATGTTAATGGGCTCCTCTGGGAACTTGGGGAAGTGAATGAAGCTGAGAAGTTTTATTTGAGAATATATTTCCTTTGGCTTAAAGATTCTGGGATGAAGCACAGGCTCTTTGCTTGCAGTCTGACATTGCTGCTGACCAAGAGGAAGCAATCTTTAGACTCTGTTCCGGAGGCATGATTTAGAGTTTCAAGAGGGAAAATAATGAAACTACAATAACCGGAAAGGCAGGATATTCTACTTAATGAATAGAGAATTTTCAAGGTTTTATTTATTATGAGGCTAGATATATTTTTGGTTCTGAAACAAATTGACAATCACTTCCTGTTACCTGGTGTTTGCTTACTCAGAATTATTTTTTCTGCTTTCAGTTAACTGACTTTGCTCACTCATTTGGAATCTTACTTGGTTGTAGAAAGAATCTCCATCGTGTTGTCTGACCAGATGTGAGATTTTCTCTTTACTCTCTGTTAGGGGATTATATTTTATGAATGAATTTTGGTTGTACCTAAAATTTTGATGTTAAACAGTTCTACTATATTTTAACATCTATTTCTGGGCTTTAGGGGAAAAGTATACTTTCTAATACATCTTCACTTGCCTGGGGTTGTTTGACATCTTCTTGTTTCTGAATTTAGATGTGTCACTTACTCTGTTGGGAATTCACAGGATTAGAAATGAGGTTTCCAGGAGGGGATACAGCTCTGAGGTAGAGCATTGGCCTGCAGATCAAAAAAAGAGGTTTCCTAACATGTGCCTCCCTTTTGAAATCTTCCTTCCCTGATTTGATTGTTGAAAATATTGGCATATTGATTGTAGAGTTAAGCTGAGGCTCTAGAGAATGGAACTGTGATGTGGCAAGATGGAAAATTATGAGACTGTCTTTATACTCTACGATTATATGCATAAGCACATTAAAAATGCTTCTTCCATTCACCTAGTTTTAAAAGAACTTAGGACATTTTCATCTAATTTTGCTGCATTTTTTTTTCTGTGTGGACTTGTTTCTGCTGTGTTTTTAAGACAGCAGAATTGCTTCTTTACCTATGGTAAAATTATAGGATTTTTATTTAAAAGATCCATTTTTTATTTTAGGCTCACTTCCATTGTTAAGTGTTAAAGCTATTATAACTAAAATATTATCTCTTCGTGTACAGGATTGGGAAACATTGTGGTTTGGGATTTTTTTTTCCTCAGTAGATTACTTTCCTTGAGAAGCCGACTGTCCATTGTTTGCTGTTACGAATTTTGATAACTGAAAACTGTACTCTGCCTTCTTATCCTTTCCCCTTTCATCTTGAATGTTCTGTTATGGGAACCTGAAACTCAAGAGTTAACTCATGTGAATAAACTAATGTGAAAAGGGGAAAAGCAATTCCAGAAATGATTGTCACAGAAAGAAAAAGAAGAGGAATATTAATAGCTTCATTTGGATTATCATGCTGCTATTCCTTTAGCAACCAAACAAGAAGTGAATGCATCCATATGCCAAGGCACAAGTGTAATATAAAACTAAATAATATAAGGCTCTATACCTAATTGAAGGGTATTCGTCTTGTATTTATCAGGATAGAAGAAAAAGAGAAACAAATCTCAGTCTTGTTTTTGGCATGTTTATGGTGCTCTAGATCTCAGTGATTCTCTGCAGAACTTCTATTGTTTCACAGTGATTAACTTTAAAATTTTTCATTGGAGATTTTTGTTTTCCAGAACTCAGCAAGATGGGCTGAGTTTTACCTGGAGAGATAAAAAGTCTTAGTGTAAGCACAGGGTCAGCAATGATTACAAAGCAAATTAAAACCATCCTTTTCATATTCCTCTAAAAAGCCGCTCTTATACAGGCTTTTTAATTTGGAATTTTCCTCACTATCTTTAAAAGGACAAAGAAGAAGTACCTCTCTTGATTGTCAACTACTGCTGATTTTGATTTGATATAAGCTTGTAATTGTTGGAAAGGTATTTCTGCTGTGAAGTTTGTCCAAGACTGTAAAAATATACATTGTAAAATCTCTTCAATAGCCATCTCATAGTTTATCATTTAGGAAGATGATTTTATCAGTCTTTAGTAGTGAGAAAGAAAAATTAACGGCAAGTAATACATGACCAAAAACATTGGCATAAGAAAACACTCTCCACTTATGATCATTAGAATTATGATCCTTTTCAAAAATTAATATGTGTAATAAAACACCTTATTTAAATCACCACCACACAAACATACATACTCCTCTGTAAGAGTTTCCATCTAAATTATTTATCAGTTTCTTTTTCTTGAATTAGGTTGGTACCCAGCTACCATTCTTTCTAAAAGAATGCTTCAATTAAGTTCATCCTGTACCTCCTTTCTCTTCTTAGTCTACATATTCTTCCTGAGCAATTTCCTTTTTCATGTGGTTTTCTATGTCTTGTAAGGGATGATTCCAAAAGCTCTATAACTAGCGTAGTATCTTTCTTGAGTTTCTGAGGTATGTATTTAAATGGCTAGGTAGATATCTATCTTGAGGTTCAACAGATTCCTGAAATGCAGCATTTCTAAAGTATAGTTAATTTTGTCTTTATTAACCAAAGATTTTCTTTCTCTTCTATCTCCTAGCACAGCTAAGGCATCCCTATCCAGCCAGTCATCTTTCTTCCCAAAGGAGCTGTTTTAGTTCTTTTCTTACCATCTACCTTCTGACTTATTAGAGGAGCCTCATAATCAGTCTCCCTGCCACATTCATGCTGTCTTCCAGTGCTCCAAAACCCTGCTAGAGTGATCTTAAAAGGTCAATCTGAGTCTGATTTGATGCTTGTTAATGGTTCTCTCTCCCACCTAAGCATTCTCACTAGATCTCCCTTAACAGTGCTAGCCCTTGGCCTTGTATATACATAATACATACACCTTATTGTAATTACTTATTTGCCTTTGTGTTCTATAGTAACATATGATCATAGAGATACAGAATTATATTGCATTTTAAATTTTTGTATCCATATCCCTGCACGTAATAGATATTTAATTATTCCCTGTTGGGCACTGTGGCTCATCCTTGTAATCCTAGCACTTAGGGAGGCCAAGAGGAGAATCCCCTGATCTCAGGAATTCAAGACCAGCCTGAGCAACATAGCAAGACTTCATATCTGCAAAATAGAAAATTAAAAAATTTGCTAGTGTGGTAGCATGTGCCTCTGCTCCCAGCTACTTGGGAGGCTGAGGTGGAGGATTGCATGATCCTCGGAGGTTGAGGCTGTAGTGGGCTATGATTTTACTGCTGCACTTTAGCTTGGGCAGCAGAGCAAGACCCTGTCTCAAAAAAACAAAACAGGGCCGGGCGCGGTGGCTCAAGCCTGTAATCCCAGCACTTTGGGAGGCCGAGGCGGGTGGATCACGAGGTCAAGAGATCGAGACCATCCTGGTCAACATGGTGAAACCCCATCTCTACTAAAAATACAAAAAATTAGCTGGGCATGGTGGCGCGTGCCTGTAATCCCAGCTACTCAGGAGGCTGAGGCAGGAGAATTCCATAAACCCAGGAGGTGGAGGTTGCGGTGAGCTGAGATCGCGCCATTGCACTCCAGCCGGGGTAACAAGAGCGAAACTCCATCTCAAAAAAAAAAAAAAAAAATTTGTTTTTCCATAAATGCTACTGAGTGACTTTTTTCCAGGAGTCTGGCAGACCTGAGTTTGAATTCTGCTTCTTCTATTTACTGGTAGTATATGACCTTGAGCAATATATTGAAACTCAACTGAATTGTTTTCTCATCTAGTAAATGAGTAGTATTATCACCTAAGGTGGTTTTCAGTTAAACTCTTCATTTTGAGATAATAGTAGTACATAATAATAGTACAACGTGCAGTTTTAAGAAATAAAACAGAAAGATATCACTTTACCTAGCTTCCTCAAAGGTAACATATTATAAAACTACAGTAATATATCATAAGGAAGGTATTGACACCAGTACAGTGAAAATACAGAACAACCACATCACCAAAGGCTCTCTCCTGATGGCGTTTTATATCCATACCACTTTTCCTTCCACCTCCACAACCCCCATCATTAACTCCTGAAACAATCACTTTTTCTTCATTTTTATAATTTTATCATCTCAAGAATGTTATATAAATGGAATCATACAATATATAGATTTTTGGATTCTTTTTTTACTCAGCATAATTTTTTAGAGATTTGTTCAAGTTGTATGCTATTGCTTTTGTTTCTGAGTAGTATTCTATGATATGGATGTACCATAGTTTATTTAATCATTCTTCTGTTGATGGACCTCTGAGTTGTTTTCCTAGAAGTACTATGAACATTTGTGTATAGGTTTTGGAGTGAACATAAATTTTCTTTTCTCTAGGATGAATGTCTAAGAGTGCAGTTGCTGGGTAGTATGTATAGTGTTTGCATGGTTAAGTTTTAAGAAGCCACCAAACTGTCTTCCTGAGTGACTTTACCATTGCATATTCTCTTTAGTGCATTGTATCAGTGATCCAGTTTATCTGTACATTTACCAGCATGCAGTGATGTTGTGGTGTTTCTGTTTTTTTATTTAAGCCATTCTATTGGTTTGTAGTGATGGGTCACTGGGGCTTTAATTTGCATTTCCCCAATGTCTAATAATGTTGAAGATTTTTTCACTTGCTTGTCATTTGAATATCTTCTTTTGCTAAATTTCTCTTGCCCTTCAAATGTGTTTTGCCCATTTTCTAATTGGATTAAAAAATTTTATTGTTGAGTTTTTCATAGTTCCAAATATGTTCAAGACACTGATTTTTTATTGAGTATGTGGTTTGCAAATATGTTCTTCCAATTTGTAGCTTGTCTATTCATCTTCTTTCAGATTCTTTCTCAGAGCAGAAGTTTTAAACTGATGCAGTCTAGTGTAATGATTCTTTCCTTTACATTCTTGCTTTTATTGTCAAGTCTAAAAACTCTTTGCTTATCCTTTGATCCTGAAGCTTTCTC